CCCATTTAAAATTATTTCACAATATCCCTCTTTATACATTGTTTAGTTGGCATTTTTGTGACACGACAAAGGAGGGACAACCTGGTGTAAGGACCCTCCATTTCCAACTATAGTGTTGGGGATTTGAGTAGCCAAGCTCCTGCATTGGAAAGTTTGGGGTGGGGTTTGCCAATATCAATAAAACATAAAAAAATTGGCCTTTTATGGCTTACTCAGATGGCTCTACAATGTTCGTGCCCAGTTTTTAGCCAAATGAATGATATGTTCTCGACAATTGCATGTTCTTGCTTTCAAGGAATTATGTTACTAGTTGTATGAGCTTTTCATTATCTTCAACTAATGTCCTTCTAATATAACCTATTTTGAATTCCTTGCTCAAGGCCTTCTCCAATATGGACCTATCCATGCATCTTTTCCAAGTAAATCTCAAGATGAAGATGACCTATCGTACACTTCCCTACAGTGAGGATGATGATGTACAAGAATCTGAGGGAGGTTTTACCGAATCTGGGGAGAGTCCCAAAAGCAACCATCAGAGTAGAACACAGTGGGATGATAATTGTCCTTGGAGTGAGTGGTACTCTGCTGAGGACCCATTAAGAGGTAATTGTGTTGCTGAGGAGATTAATAACTGTATTTTGCACTATCAGATCTGGTCGGAGCTCATCAGGGGGAGTGACATAAGACCCATCTTAACCTGAGTTTGCAGAGTTGCTGCTTTAAGTTCTCATAATTAAGTGTTTGGATCTTTGCTTACAACTGGGAGCTCTTCTTAGAACAACATTTATGAATAAATCAGCCAATTTTTTTTCATCAACATATATGGTTTTTGGCTCTTACTATTATTCGTGAGTACCTCGAGGCTTTAATTGGAGAGAATGACTTTCTTTTAGGGGGTTGTAACAATGTACTATAATCTTTTTCTATCCAGCTATTACTTTTTGCTATATTATTTGGTACAAGAGATTGAACTTAGTTTAATTATAATTCTCTGTCCATTTGCGTTATTGATTTACTAGATGTATTTGTTAACGATGCAGGGTTTGAGCTGCTTACAGTATGGTCAGAGAAAGCGATAGAGAGTTCACTTGAAATGGCTGAGCTGGAAAATGTGTCACCTCTTGAGGCTGAGAAGTGGTTAATATCTCCATGTTTATCTGAGATTCTGTAAGACCCTATGAATACTCGCATTTTTTTCACTCTTGCTTCATCAAAAATGGCAGACTTGGGTCTTCTCCACCACTTCCTTACATATTAAATTGGTAAATTTTGTGATTTAGCAAGTGTTCATTTGCCTACTGGATGTGTTTCATTGAGATTCTTGTTTGCTATGTGCATGTAATAGTAGCTCAATGGATTGTTGTCAAGGCTGACCGAGCTGGTTGAGCATGTGATCTCCCAGATGGGGGGTTTCAGGTTCGAAACCCCCTGCTTGCTTTCTCTGTTGAGCACGTTGCACGGGCCTTGCCTAGTGCGATTTACCTCTCCCGTGTGAGGTCTTCGGGCTATTACACTATAGTGGGGTTTCCTTGTGCACACCTGAAGATTAGCGACTATGGGTTCCCTTGTCAACAAAGAAAAAAGATCTGCACATACTATTCAGTGAGATGTGTTCCTATCGAAGTCTCTGCAGCCATTTACATCACCCAAATAAATATAATCACCATATATCCAGATAATGTTTTTAAATTCCTTTAGTAGCCAATGATTCAATATAGTGAAAGATAGGTGATCATTTTTGAAAATTTTTCTCTACACTAGTTGCTAGCCACTTTTCTGTGACAAAAAAACGTTGATTATCATTGAAGTATATAACATAGGAAAGATCGTTAATTAATTCTCCATTCATTTTTTTTCTTCCAAAAGTAGATAAAATTGGCAACAAGAAGCTTATATAGTTTAACAGGATATCCCTGCTGAACTTTAATTTTGACCGCGGGCTTAATTACTTGATGAACGGGATGCTAACTACTCAAAAGTGCTAGCTTTCTGTTCGTTCCCATGGGTTGCTATGGCTAATGTTTGACCAGCAACCTGTGACTAATCTTGCTAAGTCAGTTTATCTGTGCAGTAGTTTAAGATATCTTAAATTGTGTATTTTACCACTCACACAGCTTTTCATCAGTTAGGTAGATGAACTTTCTCAACTAAATTGTCGACTAGTGAGTGACTAACACTTTTCTTTTTGAGAAGGTAACATGTAATTGGCTGACTACCACTTGCGTCGAAAACACTGAAAAATGTTTTTATGCAAGATTAAGCTTCTCTAGAAGGTCCTAGTTATAGTTGTTTATAAATAAAGAATGTCCTAGTTATCACATTTGGGGGGGGGGGGGGGGGGTTTTTTTTTTGAATTTATT